TGCTCTATTCTCGGGGGGGGGGGGGGGGGGGGGGCAATATCAGACACCATTCCAGCCCTGCTCACAATCCGGGGGTACGGTGGTTACATCGGGAACACCCAGAGCATCCCGCAAGCTCCTCCTCCCCCTCATCTTCCTCATCCACCCTCCCGGGATGCCAGGCCGGTCAGCTGGCTAAGCCCCCCCGGATTCTTAAGATGCGAGCCACATCCACACATGTGATCATGTGACTGCATACCCTGGACAACAGCTGCAAATTACAGTGTTACAACTGGGGGGGGACTGGGATAATCTCCCAAAAAGCAGGGGCCTGGTGGTTAACGTGACCCACCCCCCTAAACACAGAGCGGTACAAACAGCTGCAGCACTGAGACGATCAGGCATGTGCTCCTCCCAGAATGCTTTGCTCTGCTCAGTCAGGCGTCAGGTTGTCATGGTAATGTGGTGACATTTGTATTCCATGCACCCTGACCAATTAATGGGCAGCGTATGACTCAGACTAACCCCCCATATAAACAATTCTATGAACTGAAAGTGAAACAGGAGTGTTATTGTACATTGTTTCTCACACACACTGGTCACTAGATATGAAGATCTGTTGTCTCGGCCCCCAGGAGCCAAAATACGGCTACTGGGAGTCTCACACAGCCCCGCCGCCGTCACTCACCATCAAAGTTCCCGTAGAGGGTGCTGAGCGAGGCCTGCAGGGCGTGGCCCAAGTCGCGCACCTGGCCCTTGAATTCACGCTGGCTCATGTTCCACAGACTCTCTTCCATCTCACTGACGCAGCAGGTGTAGCCCTGGGGGCAGATCCGCAGGTGCTCGCCTGTAGAGGGGGGAGATCAGGCCGAGATTAAGTAATGGACGTGGCCTAAACGGAGCAGGTGTGGTTTTAGCTCCAAAATATTACACCGTTTGGAAGTGGATCACACTAAACAGTCGACAGAGGAGAAGCAGGGAAGTGACAGGAAAGGAAGGACAGTGTCGCGGTCGCAGTGAAACAGTGCAACGTTTCAGGCCAATCGGAAAGCACATGGCCCCGGCAATGGGGTCATGTGGACATGTGGTACCCAGGGAATCCAGGCAAGGCAATGGGGTGCATTTCACTGGGCAACCAGGAGATATGCTGGGGCTTACCTACCCAGGGTACGGGGGTGCATAGCCTACATATGAAACCCCCCTGCACCCCCCACCAGCTGTGGGCATGTTAGAACCACCGTGGCAGGAATGGGGGCAAGTAATAAGTTCCTTCAAAAGAGCTTCATGAGCAGCAAGGACACACGTAGGGAATAATCCAAGATTAATGACAAATAAAAAGATGTAGAGTGAACTATCATGAAGATGATGAAGAGTGCGGCTCCCTCTCAATCAGCAGCGGCGTGACTGGATCTGGGGGGGGGGGTAAAGGACCCGACCTGCTGGTCAGCAGTTCCGTCGGCGGTAAGAGGCACCCATCGAAAAAGCCATACAGTTCCTGCTCTGTTACCACCAAGTCCATCGATTCATATTTCCTATACATCCATGTGCTTATGTTCTTAAACACAATGCTAACAACCGATGAGCAGTGATTGGGATTTAAACACATGCAGGTTTATTCGCATGAGCTCAGAAGAAATGGGGTGAATGAATGGAAAAAAGAAGTGGGGTCAGGACGAAATATTACAGTGTATGGAAGTAAATCTCACACACCAGCTGGCAAAAGAGAAGCGGAGCAGTGACAGGAATGGACGGACACTGTGGCGGTGAAGCACTGCTACGTTTCTAGCAAATAAGAATGCATGCTGTCAAGTGGGTGGGACACGGACCCAGGCCAGGCATCCAGGCATCTTTCACTGAGTGACCAGGGCACAGGTAAGAAGAGCAGCTAATCAGCTGTCAGCCACAGGGGATTCACCCAATGGCTGGGAGAGGCGCTGGTCACCGGGGGGGTGGGGTGGATGGCTGCTTTGTCCTCAATGCTCTCCCCTATACCCCACCAGGTCAATCCACAGCCAGTAGTAGCTTCCAGGGAAGGTAGTTCCTGATAAAACTGCAGAGCCCCCAGGACAGTGACGCCACCCCCCCCCCCATCCCATCCCTGCC